AAAAAAATAAGTTTATGCTCAATGCATAATGCAGTTTTACTCCATGTGGTGGTGAGGACCTTACATTAAAAACACAAGGCGTGATTTCAAGCTATTTGGGAAATTATCTTTATTTATCTTTATTCGTGCTGAGGGAGACATTTGGAGTAGAGGTAAGTGGCTAGTTACGTTTTTCAAGCGAAATTAGAAATAAAATGAAGTAAAGTTACATGAACCTTTGGAGCAGAAATAAAAAGGGACTGAGAAGCAACTTTTGATTTAGCAAAAAAGTTGAAAGATGAAAGAAGAGATTTTTCTAGTACACAAGATGGACGTTGTGCCTACCAAATTTGTAATGCATTGAGGACATTATGTGCTTGTTTGTGGTACCACATGAATGTCGGGAGAGTTCAGTTGTACTGTTTTGTACCCAGATGGTGTTCTCAGTGGTATCGGGTTTCATTCCCATGCACTGTTGAGTTAGTTCGTACAAATTTCGCAAGGGTACGCAAAAGGTACCCGAAGAAAAAAATCAACTGACCAACGGTGTTTTTTTAGAAAGGGAAGGAGAACGGGGAAAGGGGTGTTTGTTCACTAACCGGTCCTTCCTTGGCCGTTTTTAATATTTCTATAGAAAATTTATCTCTCTTAAGATTGGCAGTTGTTATTTATAAAAATATTTTTTCCTCATATGGCTGAGTCCAACCCGCTTGCAAAATTATACACGCTCTTATAAGTTATGAATGAATCCCGCAGATCCAATGAAATTCGAAGATCCCGCGAACCTCGAAAATTTCGCGAAAATCGACAAATTTTTTGCCATGAACGTATAGTCAAGCTTACAGCTTTATCCAAGTATACAGACATAAATATATCAAGAAAATGTACATGTACATAAGCTCATTGACTAGAAGCGGATAACATATAATATACCAGTAATCCATTTGAACGATACTTATTGAATTGCTTCATAGAAGAAATAAAATCTGCAAATGCACAGTGACACAGAAAAATGGAAGAAAATGGAAGTTTTCACGGGGAAAAGGCAACTTTGAAAGCTCCGAGTTCCTAGTTATCAATATTATAAACAATATGTTATAGGGGAGGTCTTCCATAGGAATCAATAAATCAATAAAACAGATGATGAGCTGAATATCTATCTTAGGAAGCGGCTGTGATCTGACTGATTGTCATCTCCTCCTCGATTGAGGCCATCGGAGCAGCTGGTTTCTCGCAAGGACTGAAGCGAAAATGTTCAGAAATTCTTCAAATAGACAAAATTTTGAGACTTACGTCATATCATTGTCCACCACCTTCGACGAAGTCAACGTAGCCACTCCATTTTTGTCAATTTTCGTCGGATTGACTCCATTTGAGTCTTGATACAGTAAGATAAGGCTTTCGAGATTGGGCACCTGCAT